TCAAAATTGTGTAACTTTCAAAACTTTATTAGTAATTACCAAAATAAGTAACAATTCTATAACAAAAATGCTGTAAATTCACTAGCTTGCCTGTACTTGGCAATTTATCTTTGGGTAAACTTCAATAGTCATAAAGTTCACCCAATAGGTTCTACAAAATCTGGTTTAAAGCAGTACTCCTTCTAAACTTCATTTCCACTGCAAGCATTAATTCCCACTGGCTCAGTAAAGTACTGTACTTACTTGAAACAGCCCTGTGGTATCAAGAATTTCACCGCCAAGTCACCTTGAAAAGCATCACCCTAAAGCACTACTTTACTAACCATGTCTTCTGAAATACCAGTATTTGTTAAAACCCATGCTCTCAAATGTGGGGCTTGATAATAATGCTTGGTTTACCTTTACTTAAGAAAGAAACATTTCCACAGCATAATTCCTCAAAGACATGAATGTGCCTAGCAAATCTCTACAAGGAAGACACACTGTCCAGTTTTTCCCAAAGTCATCTAACCACTCAACATCATCATCATTATTTATTAAACGTATTATCTACCAAAATTTAGAACCCAGGTGGGAATGCTACAACAATTTTTTACAGCCCATCTGTCTTTGTTCATACCAATAAGGTCTGAATTTGACAGAACAAATGAAGGCTCAAAATGAGGGTAACTATCTCTTATTGTGTGGAGAAAAATTAAACAATATTTCACAACTATCCAAAGTGGTAGGATGACATGACCAAAGCCCATAAGCACACAGCCAGTCAGTAACTGCAGCAGGTCTGGATCTCACAGCTCTATGGTCAGATGTGCCAGACTGATCGTCCTAGAGATTAAAATGTTAGTACTCAGGTAACATTCTTAATGCTTCTGGCTATATCATATTGTCTTTCACATACAAATGTAAGTTAATCAAAAACGAGAAGGTGAAGAAGTACTTTGGCAGAGCAAGAAGAACAATTATAAAGAAAGGGGTCTGAATAGTGGCTCTGGCAGGTATTACCCATGAACTGTTTTGGGGGAAGTTTTGTTTGTTTTGTTTTTGCCATTTCAGTACCAAACCAAAGATGAGCTTGAGTCAATCCTCTTGCCTGTCCTTAAGGAAAAAAACAGACAGT